AGGAAGTGAGGGGAGCAGGCGGCAGACACCCGAGCAGCTGCTGGGCAGGCAGGGCAGGGGCAGGGGCGTGGCGGCCGGGCAGAGCCTCCCGCGGGGTGAGGCGACTGGAGAGCTTCCAGCAGGGGCTCAGGGCTTCTGCTGCGGCCTCCAGCCTCACCGTGCTCCAGACACTGAGCAGCGAGCTGGGTCCTCACCCCGCGTCCTCCCGGAGGGCACCTGAGAGCTTCACCTTGGTAGCATTCAGCGGTACAGGCAAAGCAGCCGGAGCCCCGAGACAGAGTAACTGCCTTTCAGACGGACAGCGCGTGGCTACCAAGTGGCAGGAGCAGGCCTGGCAGCTGCCTTTCGGAATAGACCCCAAGATAGAGACCCAAGCGGGAACGAGGGTGGGTGCTGTCAGCACCGCCGGGGAATATGCCCCAGAACGTTGCTCTGTAGAAGGCATTTGGCATTAGGTACCAGGGGTGTTGGGGGCGTGCACACTCCGTGACCCGATGGGATTCTGCCTCTGAGCGTCTCCCTTAATGATAACCACTGGTGACCTTACTCAGCCATTCCTGTGCCCACGTCACCATTTGAAGTCCCCACATGTGTTAGCTCATCCAGTCCTCACAGCACCGCAGTGCACTGGGAACTGAGGCACAGACAGGTGAAGCTGCTTGCTCAGGCTCATATGAGCACATGGCAGAGCAGGTGTTTAAACTGAAGGGAATAATCAGAGAAGTGTGCCGTGACGGTTCTCCAGGCACAGGCGCAGACACCACACTGTGTGTAACAAAGAAACGAGTAAACAGGCCGAACCCAGCGCTGGACACAGCGGAACACTGCTGATCTGAGGCTTCGGATCTAAATTTTGTGGCCCAGAGTGATGTTAATGATACAGTAAGTTTAAAATATAAGTTTTCGTATGTAGAAGGTGCTGCTATTTTGGTAAATGAAACTTACATTTATCACCCTATATTCATAGCAACAATCTGAAAGAAGATATACTAATATGTGAGTGGGGTTATTGCTGGGCCTTGTGATTTGGGGCATTTGAACTGTGTTTTCTCTTTGGGTGTCCGTACCTTCTAATTTTTATTCCCCGGTTATGTCTTGTGGTTAATACAATGACTTCAATGATATAAACTACAAAGCCTCAGCACATATAAAGGGCACTTACTTAGCTCGAATGTGCAAGCGCCAGCCATCTGGGCTTGGCTGACCTCCCGGGCTTACTAGTGCACCTGAGGTCAGCTCAGGTCAGCTGCCAGCCCTGCCGATGCGTGAGCTCACTCACAGAACAGGGGCAGCTGCCTGCTGCCTCGTGCAGAAGGAGACCGTCCTCCAACAGGCTAGGCCAGGCATGTTCTCAAGGCAGTGGTTGTTCCAAAGCAGGCCTCTGCACGCCTTACTTTGGCTAATATTCTGATGGTCAAAGCTAGTCACATGGTGAGCCCAGAGTCAAATTCAGGGAGAACACCCTGCCCAGAGTGGTGGGGGTGGGGGCACCCTGCAACATTATATAGACACAGGAGTGAAGAATTGGGGCCATCAATGTAGTCAGTCTAACACACTCAACAGCATCACTTTTATTTTTTTTATTTTTAAATATGTTTTTATTGATTTTAGAGAGAGGAAGGGAGAGGGAGAGAGATAGAAACATCAATGATGAGAGAGTCATTGACTGGCTGCTTCCTGCATGCCCCTCACTGGGGTTTTGAGCCTGCAACCCCGGGCATGTGCCCTGACCAGGAATCGAACCACAATCTCCCGGATCACATGTCGATGCTCAAACACTGACCCATGCTGCCCAGGCAACAGCATCATTTTTGACAGTAGCCTAATACTTCATTGCATGGGTATATCATCATTTATTTGAACAGTAAGGTTCTGTAAGGTTGAACAGTCAGGTTAGAATTTCCAAACTATATTTCAAGGAATTGTAAATCCTTTAGGGGGTTAATTGGGGTTTTGACACACACACACAAAATGAAGGTTGGGTATGGAAATAAATTTGGTAATCATTGGGTTAAATGAAGAAAAATAAATTTCCTTACTGCAGGACTTATCAGAACCTTTACATGCAAATATGCATTATGAAATTCCAAAACTCTGAGGGGTGCTTAAACTTAGGGATTTTTTCAAGAGGCATCTCTTGGGACAGGTGTTCCATTGCTCTCCCTCCAGGCTTTGTGCATCTGAGTTGGGTTTCATGATTATAAACAGATCTCTGATGAACACGGAGGGCTCATTGTTGCCAGAGATACAAATGGCCAGGGCATTTGTATCTGGAGTAATGTGAGTTCTGAAGGCTGCACTTGGGATGATGGGGATGGTGGTGACCGTGAGTCAGCACTAACCTGGCCCACTTTCTCTCAGCAGGTGCCTTAAGATCTCCCAATGGAGTGGCTTGGCTCTAGGCTCCTGTTCCCTGTGAGCTGCCTGATCCTGGTGTGGGCGGCAGTCTCTGGTAAGTCACCACCTCTCATTCATTCATGCATTCATTCACTCGGCAAACCTGAATGACTGTTTACCTGCCAGGCTCAATCAGTGAACAAAACAAAGATCCTGGCCTTGAAGAGATTACATTGTACTGGGAGGAGACCACCAATGACAGATGGTCCTAATTAGAAGTAAATTCTAAGGATTGTTAGAGGGTGATGGGAGCAGATAGTAGAGGACAGAGCAGGGAAGATTGGGGAAGCTGGGTGGAATGGAGGGTTGTAACTTAAAATATGTGCTCAGGGAAATCCTCATTGAGTGACAGGCAAGCAGAGACTTGAAGTAAGGGGGAGCTATGCAGATATCTGGGGAAGGAGCTGAGTGGAGGCCTGGGCTGAGAGCCTGCCTAGAGTGTTGGAGGAACCAAAGGAGGCTGGTATGGTGCTGGCGGACAGGGTGACCAAGTCAGGAAGGACCTCGCAGGGTTTGAGCAGAGCAGTGGCATGAACCTGTTAAATTAAAAGGGATCCCTTTGTCTGTAAGCAGAAGGGTGGAGGCCGGGAGGCCAGGGAAGAGGCGCCGCAGTAAGCTGGGTGGCTTGGCCCAGCAGAGGCGATGAGAGGGGACTGTCTTCCTGATCCTTCTGGGAGGGAGATTTGAAGACAGATTAGAATGAAGGGAGAGAGGTGTCAGGGATGACTCTGCGATTCTGACCTGAGCAACCAGGAAGGACACGGTTGTCATTTCTGAGGTGCAGAGGGATATGGGTTTGGGGAGCAGGGACTCAGATGAGGAGAGTTTGAGGTATTTATTAGATATCTCCTTGGCATGGTAAGTCCTCTATCCAGAGAGCAAGTGAAAGTTGAGGGCAGCTGTGATGGGGCCAGTGCTGGCCACTGCCCATCAGGTACTGGGTGGACTAGAGCTAGGCGATGGCTCTCAGAGAATTGGCAAACCCAGGAGACATCCTGCTGGGTTCAAGTCCAGCTCTGCCACTGACTGGCTGGGAGAAGCACCCCAACCTCTCATCCCGCCCTTGGATATTGGCCGAACCCAAAAAGAAGCCAGAGGACAAGAGCTCCTGAGTGACAAGACGGTGGGGGTCAGCCTCCTGAGCTCAGAGAGGGGTGCAGAATAGATGGGGCAGGAGCAGGCACAGGGCATACTGCTGCAGGGCAGATGCCCGTTGGCAGGTAGCACTCCTCAGACTTTTCCTTTAATCTGGCCAAGGGCAGGTAGGTGAGCTGCATGGCATAAAGGTGCATTTGGGGTATCCCCTCAATGGGCCCTGCACCCCAGGGTATTTCTTCAGCTTCAGGAATCACCTCAGTGCCAGCTGGGAGGCACATGACCAGTCCTGGGACTGTGGTTTCCTTGTTTTGTGATGGGCCCCTTGGTCCTGTTCGGGATAGTTTCTGCCCTGTCCTGGTGGCACACGTCCCCCTCTAGTTCGTTGGGCTCCGGCTGTTGAGAGCGCGCCCGTGTCTCCCCAGGGAGTGTTCAGGTCCAGCTTCGGCCCACCTGCTTCTCCGACTACCTCAGCACCTCCGCCTGTGAGTGGAGGATGGGCGGCCCCACCAACTGCAGCGCCGAGCTCCGCCTGACCTACCAGCTGGACTTTCCGGACTCCGAGTAAGCCTGTGGTGCAGCCGGGGGGGTCGGGAAGTTGACCCTGAGATTTGGCCTTGACCAGTGGTGCCCTGGAGTGCCAGGTGCTAAATGCGGTTCACTGTGCTTATTAGGCACAGGGTTAGAGCTGGGGCGCCGGGGTGCAGTGTGTGTGATACCCTGGGTGTGTCATGGTGCTCTGAGCACAGTGTCACCCAGGTGTGTGGCATGTGGATATGGGCGGAATATTGGACCAGACCAGTGGTTCTCAAGCATTTGGTCTTGGGACTCTAGCACGCTTAAACATTAGTGAGGACCCCAAGAGCTTTTGTCTAGGTAGCCTGTAGCTATCGATATTTACCCTAGTAGGAATTAAACCAGAAAATTTAAATCACAACAGCACACAAGCCATCAGAGCAGTGACACCACACACACTATGCAGCCTCTAGAAAACTCTGTAGCGTGTGAGAGAGAGAGTCAAGTGGCAGGGAGTTTGACCTGTGGGTCCCCAGACCATACTCAGAGACCCGCAGACATGACCATTGTTTGGGGCACAGTGTTAGGGTGAGTTCCCCATGAAATGTGGAGTGCATGTTCCCTGTGGTTCACTGGGACAGTCCGTGTACACGGGGTGCCCAGGACATGATCAGGTGCTCAAGGCTCACAGGGCCAGGCCTCAGGCACAGCAGAAGATAGACACACCAACATTGGTGGCAGGCATTCGCGATGTGCTAAGGTGGACGCTCTGGGCTTCTGCATGTTAGGTATGAGGGCCTGGACCAGGGATGGAAAACTGCCCAGGAGCCACATTGGGCCCACCACCGATTTTATAAATAGAGTGCTGTTGGCACACGGCCACGCCCGTGTTGTTCCCATGTTGTGTACGGCTGCTTTTGTGCCTGCCTGCAGGGTTGTGCAGTGGGGACAGAGATGTGTGGCTCTCAAAGCCCTGCATGCTTTCTGTCCAGCCCCCTACGGAAAACGCTTGCCGCCACGCCCAGCCCCCAGCTGCTGTTTGGGAAGCACGTTAGGACCCTGTGCAGGGCGCAGAGCGTGTGCCACAGTCGTGTGCACGGAGGTGTGCTACACATGTGCTGTTACAGATTCTTCAGTGCCACGGTCTTCCCTTTCACTGGCCTTTAGGGATGAGCTGAGTCCTGGGACCAAGGCCTCAGCCAGGGATGTGTCTGAGTCCATGTGGGTGTGGTGAGGGGCTGTGACCAGCAGGGAAGGCAGTCCTAGTCCTCTGTCCCCACCACACACCCTTACCACTCTGCTTCCGAGTCCCCTGATCTGGTCCTTGAGGCAGGTGACCAGGACCTGGAAGAGCATGTGGTTCCTGAGGCACATACAGGGGACACCCGTGTGTGCACGACCAGCCTCATGCAGCGCCCTGTCTGCAGAAACCTTACGTGCGTTCCTGAGAACAGGGATAGCATGGTATGCCTGTGCCACATGTTGATGGACGACGTGGCCAGTGTGGACATCTACCAGCTGGACCTGTGGGCTGGGCCACAGCAGTTGTGGAGTGGCACCTTCAGGCCCAGTGAGCATGGTGAGTGGGGCAGGGCAGGGTGGGGCGGGCGCTGTGGGGGAGATGGCCCAAGCAGCCTCTTACCTTTCCTTAAACTCAGTGGGGCTCTTGCCTTTATCTGGGCCTTACATGGTACCTTACAAATGTACACAGAGGTGGTGTTGAGTAAAAACCTCAGTGGCCCAGGGTCCACCCGCTGATGAGCCCTCACCAGACCTGGCTTCTCCACAGTGAAACCCAGGGCCCCTGGAAACCTCACGGTTGATGACAGCATCTCTGGCATGTGGCAGCTGACCTGGAGCAGCCCATACCCTTCCGAGAGTTTCCTGCACTCCGAGCTCTCCTATCTAGTCAACATTTCAAGTGAAGATGACCCCACGGAGGTGAGTGGGCACTGTGGAGGTTTGGCCCCAGGGTGGGAGACGACTCCCGGGCCCTGGAGTCCCTGCTTCTGTCCCTCTACTGCTTGCCCAGTACCCAGTGTGCAGAGAAGGGATGTGATTTGGGGGCTCTGTTCCTCCCTGTAAAGAAGGCTCTGGGCCACGGCTGTGTGTCCCAGGGGCCTGGAGGGATAGTGAAATTTCGGGAACACACTTAAATGACTGAGTCCCACTGTGAAACCCTCAGTCAGCATCATCTCCCTCCCGACCCTGACTGATCAAGAAAGCCGTCTCTGCTGAGTGGAGCTGATGGGCTCACTAACCCTTTCTTGTAACAGAGAGGAGGCCAGGTCTCAAAGCCCTCCCCCAGGAGTAGGTGCAGCCATAATTCAGTGCTGTTGCTGGTCTCACTGTGATTGCTTTCATGTGACACTCGTGGCATCGGGTACTTGCTTTCCAGGCCCAGCAGAGACAGCGGCTCCTTTCTAAATGAGCTCAGACACCTCACAGGCAGCACTGATCTATCATCAGGCAGATACTGGCAGGCTGCACACAATGAGGGCGTGATGAGGGTGGGTGGGCACAGTGCCGTCACGTTTGCCCCTCAGACATTCCCACTAGAGGGCCGTCTGCACAGCACAGGCCCGGCATCCCCCAGAACTGAGTTCCAATACCTGCCCTGCCGCTTGCCCACTGCGTGATCTCGAGCATGCCACTTAACCTCCTTGTGCCTCAGTTTACTCATCTGTACCATGGGGATAACCAGAGTAGCATCCCATAGGGCTATTGAGAGCATAAAGTGGGTGACACAGACGAGCTCCCACGACCAGCACAAAGCATGTTACGAACATCCTCCGTCTTTCCTTCCGAGTGCCACAGGCCTTGGGAACCCCCATCGGCCTCGCCCTCCCATGCCCTGGCCTGGAACTCTCTCCTGCAGAGTGGCCGAGGGCCTGTGCTGAGCTGCACCGGCGTCCTGGACCCAGGCTGGCCGCCTTGGCAGCCGGGCACAGCCTCAGGCATATGAAGCTCCCAGCTCGGCTTCTGTTGCTGCTGCTTCTCCTCCTGACCAAGCCGGGGAGCTGGTGGTGACGATTTCCATCTCTCAGGCATGGCTCCTCCTTGGCCCTGGGCCAGGAGGTGGGTAGGAGCAGGAATGGGGCGCACACAGTGCGAGGCTCAGAGGGCAGTTGGGGAGAGGGGGTCACACAGACGCCAAGGAAAGAGGCAGGTCTGGCCTTGTCCCTTAGTCTTCCCATGTCCTGGGCCTGTTCAGGGTATAGCCTGGAGGAGAGAGAAGGCTCCAAAGAATTTACTTATTTGTTCATCATGGCTGGACCCAGGTCCCAGGAATCTCCCCATCGCTCTGCCCCGCTTTACTCCTCATTGGCTCCGTTTTCAGGCAGGTTCTTCCCTCACGTGGCCGACATGCCCACAAGCAGCTCCAAGTGTAGGTCCCAGAGCTGCAGTGGGAAAAGTTTTCCTTTCCAGATAATTCTCAATAAAACTCCTGGGACCAGTGCGATGCTTACTTGCCTAGCTTGGGTCCTTGGGCCAATCTGAACCTGTCATAGGCTGTGGGCAGGAGAGAGGGTGCTGGTGCCCTGCTCTGATCAGCCAGGGGTGAGTCACATGCCCACCTCCAAAGCTCCAGGTGGAGTCAGCTCCACCCAAGCCAGATGGGCTGAGAATCGGGAGGTGGCTCCCCTCAAGGAGACCCTGGGGATGGGGAAACAGGGTCTGGGCTGGCTGAAACGCAGCCCGGTTTAGGACCTAACGCCAGACTCCAGCCAGTGGATAGAGTTGGTCAGCATGCCCAGGCTGTGGCTCAGTGGGCAGGTAGGTGCTGGGGCTGCCCCACCTCAGAAATCCAGGTCCAACTTCTCTTGTTGGTGGGGCAGAGGCTACTGAGACGCCCCTCCCCCATGTCTCCTTCCCAAGGTCAGAGCTGGGCCTGGAGAATTCCTCTCATTAGTCACTGGCCAGAGCTGGTCACATGTTCCTCTCTAACCAATCACAGGGTAGGAACAGAGTGGCTAGGATGGGTTTAGACCAGCAGTTTTCAGCCTTTTCATCTCATGGCACACATAAACTAATTACTAAAATTCTGCAGGCACACCAAAGAATATATTATGTTTTTTTCCAGTCTGACAAAAAAATAGGTATAATTTTGATTGATTTACAAAAAAAATAAAATAATACTAATTACCTACCCTTTTTACTCCAAAGTGACTTTTTTAAAAATCAGGTGCCTATACTTGTATATAAGGATTTCTGGTACCAAGAATTAACCAATCAGACATAACCTTATTGTGCAACATGACCAATAAGATGTATCTCTATTATATGACCTACGTATTTATGGTTCAAGACAGGCGTTCACACCAGATGGCTATTGTGTAGGCTGTTGTCATTTTTTATTTGACAACCTTAGGGGAAAGAGGTCAGTGCCCCTACTTAGTCAAGTGTTGCAGGTTTTAAACATTCTAGTGGCTCATTGGTTGAAAGCCACTGGTTTAGACCAATGAGGAGTAACCCTAGAGCTGGGGGCAGAGGCTAACCTACTGTGGGCTTTGGGTACCTCACCCCAATGGCATAGATTTTGGGCAGCTGTCCAGTCATATTTGCTACAGTATTGCAGACACCCACTGTAGTCAGACTGAGAGATACTGGAAGCTTGCTGTGGGACTTTGGAAAGGGAGCTACTCTTTGTCCTGATGATTTCTAGATAAGGTTCTATAATGGAGATGGAATTTTGGCCTGGGCACTGAATGATGAATAGGAGTACTCTGGACAGGTAAGGAAGGGAAGGGTAGGCCAGGCGGATGGAATTACATGCGCAAAGGCTCAGAGGTATGAAAATTTGTGGCATATCTGAGGATTATGGGGCTGTGGGCGTGTGTGGAGTGAAAAAATCAGAAAACAAGGCCAAAGGTCCATTCAGGGTCATGAATGCCGTGCTCACGGCCACAGGGGTTAGCATTTCTTGTGTGCCTATTATGTACCACTCACAACATATGTTATCACTGGTGGTTGTGAGAGCCCAGCAGGTGGGAAGGGTGTTTGTCTCTCCATTTTAGTGATGAGGAACTGAGGCCGGGACAGGCGGCCTGGCTCACCCAGGGTCCTGCAGCTGGGGACAGAGCTGGAATTTGAAGCCAGGATTTAAACTCCGGAGCCTGTGCTCTTTCTTCTTCCCAGATCTTCCTCTCAGAGGTTGTCTTCCGAACAGCTGGGAGTGCCGTCCTGTCCCAGCCTGGACGCCACAGCTCCCACCTCCCCTCACTGCGCTGCAAAGTTCTGGCTCCGCCAGCTCCCAGCAGCCTGTTGAGGTTTTCCTTCCTCATTGTGCAGCCTCTCAGCTCACTCGACACAAGATGTTTTCCCTAGCATGTCAGCCTCAAGCAGAAGCAGAGCTGCCCACAGCTGGCAAGGGGCCGCAGGGCCAGAGGAGGAGGGAGAGCTGCCAAGGGGGACCCCGCGGGGAGACGAGCCCCAGGCAGAGGGCTTGGGCCACTCACTTGCTGGCAGAATTGATCTGAACACAGATTTTGTTTCATTTTTTAAAGTTTATTTTTTAATAAAAGTAATATTTACATGAAGCCATAATTTCATAATGGTACAAAGGGACTTAGGATGGAAATGTGTTTCTCTCCCAACACCAACCTCAGCCTCCAGTTCCTCTTCCCAGAAGCTGACCACTGCTCTGTCTCTTGCCAGGAGGGGACAGAGGCAGGTAGAGGGTGTGAGGCGCGTGTCTCCTTCCAGAGAGAGTATATGCTTATGCGGCTAACATGTCTGTTCATTCCTCACTACGTCCATTGCTACATAATATCAACAGCACATATTTATTGCCCCACAGTTTCTGGGGGTCAGGAGTCTGGGCGCAGCTCCACTGGGTCCGCAGCTGCAACTGAGGAGTTGGCCAGGGCTGTGGTTTCACCTGAGGCTCAACTAGGGAAGGATCACTCCCAGGCTCCTGTGGTGTTGGCAGCAATCCGTTTCCTGGGGGCTCTCGGACTGAGAGCCTCAGGTCCTCGCTGGCCCTCGGCAGGAGGCCACCCTCCACGCCTTCCCCCGTGGCCTCCTCCACGCCAGTGAGTGAGAGAGAGAGACCAAGACGTCGCCAGTCGGAATGACGGTCTTACTTGATGTAATCACATGTGTGTAGTCTCGCACACCCATCACCTTTGCATGTTCTGTCAGTGAGAAACAAGTCACAGGCCCTGCCCATGCCGCACGAGGAGACGACACAAGGTGCGGATCCCAAGGGCCCTCTCAGTCGGTCTGCCACCATTTTTTAAGCACAAAAAACAGACGATAACACATACTAATTGTCATCTTACCTTTTCCACTTAACAACAGGTCCTGGAATTCTCTTCCCAGTCGGGGTTGGGTTGGGCGGAGCTGAGATGCAAGGCCAGTGAGTTTGGTCTCGACTGTGAGGCTCTAGAGAGCCTGTGAAGGAGAGAGAGGGGTGCAGTGACTGTTGTGCTTCAGAAAGATCACTCGCATGCTCCCTGGGTGCCAGGCCCTGCCCTGAGTGCTTGCCTGCATTAACCCATTTAATCCTCACAGCAGCCCTGGGAGGCAGGCGCTTCTATTGTTGCCATTTTACAGAAGAGGACATCAAGGTCCAGAGAGGTTATGTCACTTATCTAAGGTCACGGCCCAAAAGTGACAGTAGGAACACTTACCCTCAGTTTAAAGATGAGGAGACTAAACTCAGAAAGGTTCATTGACTTGCCCCAGTCACATCACATGGCTGCTCAGTGAGGTGGGGTAAGGGCCCATTTCTTGACCAGTGTCATGCGAGTCTGGTCAGTTTTGGAGGTAGCAAACAATGCCTGAGTTGGAAGAACAACCAAATACCCCAGCTGGTGGCTCTTTTTATTTTTTCTTAATTGATTTTAGAGAGAGAGAAACATCAATTTGTTGTTCCACTTATTCATATATTCATTGGTTGATGCTTATATGTGCCCTGACCAGGGATTCAAACTGCAACCTTGGAGTATGGGGACAATGCTCTAACCACTCTGGCTGGTGGCTCTCAAGCACTGTGGAGTCAGCTAGGGACACTAGCCAGAGTGGGAGCTGGTACTCCCTCCCCGCAGCTGTGCAGTGATGTCTTCCTTTCCTCCACCAGTTCATAGTCTACAATGTGACCTACATGGAGCCCACCCTCCGCTTCCCAGCCAGCACCTTAAAGCCCGGGGCTTCCTACAGTGCACGGGTGAGGGCCTGGGCCCAGAGCTACAACAGCACGTGGAGTGAGTGGAGCCCCAGCGTCAAGTGGCTTAACTGTGAGTGTCTGTTGTGAATCCTGAGCACTTAGAATCTCTCCTCCCCACTTTCACTCTGTGGCCAGGCACTTGCGCCGGCCCAGCACCTGGGTTTCCACGTCCAGGACGCTCTGCTGCAGTACAGGCTGACACGGCGCACCGGCCAGGCAGGCACGAGGTCCCTGCGCTAACCCTGTGCGAGTGTATTTCTTGCTTGGGTAACAGTCCAACATGAACCTTGCTGGTCTGTGGGTGGTTTTCCTCCGTGGCCCCATCATTCTGAGGATAAGGATATTAACTTTTTTGTATCACGGGCCCTTTGACAGCCTGGTGAAGCTTGTGGACCCCATTCTGAAAAATGTTTTTAAATGTATAAAATGAAATACATACGATTACAGGGGAACCAATTTTATTGAAATGCACTTATAAAAATATTTTAAATATATTTGTTATCTTGGAATATATGCTTCTCTATTAACACATGAGATACAAGAGCTAGTGGTAGTTTCGTAAGTGCTGTAATTTCAAAGTCGATGAGCACAGTGACATTTCACCATCTGGCAGCTGTAAGTGACAGGAGAATAGCTGTGATTTCTGTTGGCAGCTGACTGACTGATGCTGTTCTCACTGTGGTTTTCTCCCTCCATTCCTAATGGGAAGAAATGCTAGGTTAGTGAAAGTAAGGATGTCATTTCTTTCCCATCCAATTCTAGACCTCTGAATTCTGTCTGCAACCTTGTTGGAAGTCTGTGGACCCCAGGTTAAGAATCTCTAAGGGCCCTGCCATTGTCTGCATCCAGCCAGCAGAAGGGGAATGAGAGCAGGGTAACCAAAACTTACCCTGCTTCTTAAAAGCCATAGCCTGGAAGTGAAGCACATCACTGTCTCTTAAGTTCTGTTGGTGAAACTGGCCACGTATAGCTGCAAGGGATTCTGGGAAATGTAGTCCCTCACGTGTAGCTATCCCCCAAACAACTCTGCAACTTGATCATGTGGCTTTTGCACTAGAAATGTTGAATTATCTCCCATAAAATAAAGTCTTACAAGTGGACCTTCCCGGTTCATACAGCAGCTCAGGGATGTCTCCCCTTCTTGCCTTTCTTTTCTCTGCCATCCTTAGCTTGGCAGTGTTTTATCTTTAGACTTGTCACCTCATGGCCCCAAGTTGGCTGCTGCACACCCCGCAGACCCCAAGGACCACAGGGGATGAAAGGCTGCCCCAAGGGAATGTACCTCGCTCATCTCTCTCTTTTGCCAGGAAGCAAAAAAGCTTTTCGGAAGCTTCCCTAGCAGACTCCCCTTGCATCTCGTTGGCCGGGACTGTCCCATGGCTTCTCCCAATGCAGTGGAGGCGGGAAACTCAAATGACTGGAAAGGGGACTTGGACCATCGTGATTGGCCCAACCCTCAGGGTGGGCACATTGCTACCTGGCAAAGAAGAGAGGGAGATAGNCACATTTCTCTTTTGTCAGGAAGCAAAATAATCTTTCTGGAAGCTTCCCTAGCAGACCTTCCCTTGCATCTCATTGCCCAGGGCTGTCACACAGCCCCTCTCCATTGCAGTGGAGGCTAGAAACTCACATGTCTGGAGAGAGGACTAAGACGGTCACAACTGGCCCAAACCTCAGGGTGGGCACACTGCCACCTGGCAAAGACGAGGGGGAGACAGGGGAGAGACAACTGCTTCAGGCACAGTGGGGAGGAGGGGGGCTGTTCACATTCACTGAAAGATGGATTCTTCAGAGTGCTGGGCACAGTGTGCTTGGCAGGGACTTCGACCCCACCCACCACACATCCCTCTCAGCATCCCTTGCCTGTTCTGTGGATGTCTCTTCACCCACCTGTCTCCCACGCTGGGCTGTGAGCTCCATGGGTAGTGTCTGTTTCTCCAGTGCCCAGAATGCCAGCCACACAGTAAGTGTTTGAGAAAGTTTTGTTGAATTGATTTGGTTCTACCACTGACCTGGGGAAGGGAAGGGAAAGGAAGGGAAGAGAAATAGCTTATATGGAACATACACAATGTACTGAACACATTCATTATTTCCACAGGTATTTATTGAGCTCCTACCATGTGCCTGGCCCCGTGCTAGACACTGGGGAATCAGCAGTGAACAAAACAGACAAAAATCCCTGCTCTTGTGGAACTGGCATTTGGGGTGGGGGGAGACAGAAAATAAACCAGTAAACAAAAAAGGAAATCAGGTAGCTCTAGATCCAGATGGTAGTAAGTCTGGAAAACAGTAAAGCCGGGTAGGGGATGGAGCGATGAGAGGGGCAGCAGTAGAGAGAGTGGGGGAGAATCTGGAGCGGGCGAGGGTGAAGGGAAGCAGGAGTCAGCTGTGCGAAGGTGGCAACAGCAGGTGTCATGGCCGCGCGGGCACTGTTATGAGCACGGTAGGCAGTAAATCATGTCACCCTCACAACCCTCTGTGGGGTGAGTGCCATTGTTCACCCCATTGCAGCAGTGAGGACACCGAGGCACAGAGAGCGTGCGGGATGTGTACTGGGTCACCAGTGAGGATATGGCAGGGCTTTGCGCTCAGGTAGCCCAGGTCCAGAGTTACTGCCCTTGACCTCTGTGCTCAGGAAAGAGAGTAGCAGGCTCACGACCTTGAGCTGGCACTGAGCTCTGGAGGAGCAGGGGACAGCGAGGAGGCCAGAGTGGTGAGGGCTCAGTGTGCAAGGCGTAGGGGAGAGGGGAGGCAGGAGGGCTTGGTGGTGGCCAGACCACACAGGGCCTGGGAGACGCTTTCCTGAGGCACTGGTCTCCAGCTCTGGGAAATGGACACCAGGATGCACTTAGCATATGCAGGCTCATGACTTCCCTCCCACTCCAGACTACACGTGGCCCTGGGAGCAACGCCTCCCACTCACCGTCAGTATCGCCTGCATTGTCATCCTGGTCATCTGCCTGCCCTGCTATTTCGGCATTGTCAAGTGAGTCCTGGGCCAGCCCTTTGGGATGCGGAGTGGGCAGGAATCCCTCCTCTCTGTCAGCTTGTAGCCCTCTGTTCAACAATAAATGTTTATTGAGCAGCTACTATGTGGGAGGCCCTGAGGCCACAGCTGAAACAAAACCGACAGGGACTCTACTCCTGTGGGAGACAGATATCAGGTCGACAAATAAGCACGGCCTTTTCCACAGTGATCCATGCACTGAAGGAAATAAACCCGGGTGAAGGACAGAAATGTTCCAGGGTGCTGTGCTAGGTAGGGAGGAGGTGATATTTGAGCTGAGACCTGACTGGGGGAATGAGCTGGCCAGGGTAAACTGGGGGAAGGGCCTTTCCTTGGTAAAGGGAGATGGATCATGCCCAGGGTATAGTCCAGATAGTTGGAGGCACGTGACATTAGACCGAGGAATGCTAGACGATTGCCCTGACAGAGTCAGAAGACCTGGGAGGTTGGTAGTTGTGTGACCGGCAACCTTGGGTTCCTCCTTTGCAGGCTGAGATATAGTGAGAACATATTTCGTCAGTCCTGAGAGTCCTAAGAGAGTCTTGGATTACAGTGGGTTGGAGGTAGAAGGAGCCTGGTTTCCAGTGAGTTTGAGCCCTGGACACATGGTGTTTTAGAGTCTCGGTTCTCCCATCTCTGAAATGGGACTAGCAAGCCCTGCCTCACCACGTAAGGATTAGTGATGGCTGAGGACTGACTGAGTGAATGTCCTGCACTTTGCTGGCTCAGAGGGGTGAAGGGACAGCTGGCAGGCAGAAGAGTTCAGGGATTACAAGTTTTCCTCTGCACCCTAGGCTGGTCTTTTTCCCTTCTCTGAGCCTCAGTTTCCCCATCACCTGTCCTTCCCAGCCCCACTCACTGTGTCCGGCACTCCAACCTTCTTGCTGTTCTTTGAATGCACTAAGCAAGTTCCCTCCGAGCCTTTGCACTCACTGTACGCCTGTGTGGAAAGCCCTTGCCCCAGGCATCTCCATGGCTTGCTCCTCTTCCACCTTCAGTTGCCACTCAGAGGTCACCTCCTCAGGGAGGCCTTCCTGGATCACACATTCTATTCCTCTTTATTCCCTTCTTTATTTTTTTTTCATGGCACTTAATCCCATAATTAATGTCATCTAATCATTTCTGTATCTGTTTGTCTCCTATTCTAGAAGGTCAGCTCTGTGAGGGCAGGGCTTCTGTTTGTCTTGTTCACTGTTGTGTCCCTGAGACCTGGCACAGTGAGTGGTACAAAGTAGGTGCTCAGTAAGGACAGGCTGACTGAGTGGAGTCAGCGGAGCCTAATCCAGGGGTAATCTGAGGACCTTTCCTCTCAGAGCTGACACTCCATAGCTCCAGGCTGACCCAGGGAGAGAGAAGGAATATATTTTTCCCTGGGTTTCCTCAGCTTCTCAGGCCACTCCAGGCCTCTTCTTGGCACCTTACTCTTGGCTGCTCCATGGAGGGGACTGTTGATGGGCACCCAGAATTCTCTGCATCTTGAGTCTCTCCTGCCTCCCTGGGCTTGTTCCCACTGCGGACAGAGATGGTGCATCGGGAACTCCATTCTGGGTAGCAGAATGCTGGAGCACGAACCTGCTCTTCTGCCAGCCAGCTGTCCCTTTACCCCTCTGATCCTCGGTCTGCTCATCTGCAAATGGGGTTGACAGTAGAGCCTGTTTCATGGGCTTAGGGTGAGACATCCAACACCGATGAACATGGTCCCTGGCCCCTAGGAAGTATTGACGACTGTGGAAGGAGAGACCAACACGTTTGACTTTCTTTTCAGGATTAAGAAAGAATGGTGGGACCAAATTCCCAACCCAGCCCACAGCCCCCTCGTGGCTATTGTCATCCAGGAGTCTCAGGTAGGAGAGTTGGTCTGTTCGGGTGCTTCGGACTGCAGGCATCAGGAAATGGGATTCAGATGCCTGGATGTTAAGGACACTCATTGGCTTTGGAATTGCCCCTGAGCCTTCAGGAGGCCCTCAGGGCAGGTAGATTCAGCAGCTCAGTGTGGTCACAGAAGCCCAGAGGCTTCCTGCCCCTCCCCTCAGCTTTCATGGCCACTTTTTCAGTCTTCAGTAGGTTCCCTCCCTTGGGAGGAGATGACCCCTGAGATCATCTGCCTATCATCTCCTGGGGACGTACCTGTACCAGGGCAGGAGGCCAGAAAGCAAGGGAGAGGGGGGGACACAATTCCTGTGTCTTCCTCTTATACCAGGAAACTGCCACCAAAGTGCCCACAAATCTCTCCTCCTTTCTCATTGGCCTGAACTGCATCACATGCTCTTTCCTAAACCATTCACCTGTAAGGAGTGGGAATACCTCAAGACCAGCCAGGTGGTGGGGCCAGCTCGCCTGTGGGACCAGCCAGGTGGCCAGCCCTGAGCAAGGGGTGGGGCGATCTTCCCCAGTGCTCTGGCCATGTGTGGTCTGCTTGAGGTAATCAGGGTTCTCTTGAAAAGAGGGAGTAGGGGTGCAGGTCCTGTCTAGAAGGTCTGAGTGTTCTCAGGTCTCCAGGTACCCTCTGGCAGGCTCTGGAGTCTGGTGGTGCTGACTTTGAACCCTGGCTCTGCCACTCACCTGCAGAGTGGACTTGAGCAGGTGGCTTAACTTCTCTGAGCCTCAGTTTTCTTGTGTGGGTTGTAGTGTGTATATAACAGGCTGACATTGGAATTCACTGAGGCAATACATATAAAGTGCATATGACAGGGTCCTGCACACAGTCGGTGTCCTTTATGTATCAGTCAGCTGCTGTGTAGCAAATTATCCCGAAACCTGGTTGAAACAGCAGCCATTTCTGTAGCTGCTGCTTCTGCAGGTCGCTCAGCAGTGGGGTTGGGTAGGGGTCTGGGCTGGACCGGGCAGCTCTTCTCTGAGCTGGGTCATCCCCAGTGGCTTCCCTCACAGCTGTCTGACTCACCTGGGCAATGGAGGTGACTAAGCCACGTCTCACCCTCCAGAGGCAGGTCCATTGGCACAGTGTCACTCCTGCCACATTCTGTTCGCCAAAGCAAGTCACACGGCCAGTCCAGATTCAGGGGCTGAGAGGAGCTGCATATGACAGTGACCGTTTTTGCCGTCAGCCACAGCAACTTATTAGGGTGACCTCAGACCTGTGTGACATCAAGGCCTACGGTCTTCCCATGGCAAATACTGAGTATCCCTCTGTCCGGGAAGGCCTCTCCACCCTGTTCATTGGCTGTCTCTGTGTTGCAGGCGTCACTGTGGGGAAAGAGGTCCGGAGGCCAGGAACCAGCCAACTGCCCGTATGTATATGAACTTCAGTCGTAGACTATGTGGTTTTGGAAGGGGGTGAAACTGGTGCAGTAGGCCCCACCTTGAGAGTGGGGTCCCACCCCCCCCTCCATGTCTGCCTTCTCTTCCTTGGCATTCAGCACTTTCCCTTCGAAGGGTAGCAGGAGGAGGAGTTGTCTGGGTAGGTGGGCTGCTGGCTGAGCCCCCTGAATTTCCCTGGGTGGGTCAGGCTCGTGTTGAACCCCTTGGGAGTGCACAGTCTGGCCTGAGCAAGGCTCGTGGAGTTGACTACCGGGGCAGCTGTGCCAGTTGTTGTAATGCTGACATAATTGTATACTGGTCTGCAAACACCACTATCCTAAACCTTTGAGTGTGCCACCATCACATTAGCCTCCTTAGCTCCTCCCTCAGGGCCTCCTGGGCCTCCCCACAGTGCAGTAACTAAAGGGTTTAGACCTGGCACAGCAGGGGACTTCAGGACACTGGGAGCCCTAGGACCCCGCAGCCATCCTACCTGCTTAATCCTTATGCTGTGTGTTGATACATATTTTAAATACTATCATCCCTGACAAAGACTTTTATTTATTCAATAGGCTGAGTTTGTAGTAGATACCAGGTTATATGCTAAGCTCCAAACATCCCAAAGGAATACAGGGGCCCTGCCTTCAAGGAGCTCCCAGAATAGTAGTGGAATAGACTGACAGATTATTGATTTTAAAATCAGGAAGCATGTCTCCAATAGGTAGACATCAGTCCAGGGTGACTTCAAGCTGGGTTTTGAAGGATGAATAGGAATTTTTCAAGGGGAGACTCTGAACCCTGACCACACTTTGCTTTTACAGACCCTGGAAGACTTGTCTGGCTAAGCTCCTGCCCTGTTTGCTGGAGCATGGAGTGGGCAAGGATGACAGTTCCTCCAGGGCTGCGAGGAGCGGGCCTGTCCAGGGTCCTGGAGGACCAGCGTGGCACCCTGTGGAGGTCAGCAGGACGGTCCTCTGGCCAGAGAGCATCAGCGTGGTGAAGTGCGTGGAGCTGTTAGAGGCCGCAGTGGAGAGTGAGGAGGAAGCTGGCGAAAGTAGAGGGAGCCTCTGCCCCTCTCCTGAGAGCAGCGGGGGCGGCTTCCAGGAGGGCAGGGCGGGCATCGCGGCCCGGCTGGCAGAGAGCCTGTTCCTGGACCTTCTTGGGGGTGAGGATGGCGGCTTTTGCCCGCCGGGCTTCGGGGAGCCCTGCCCTCTTCCACCTTCAGGAAGTGTGAGTGCGCAAATGCCTTGGGCTGAGGTACCAAGTGAGGAGCCCCAGGAGGCATCACTTCAGGAGGGGAAGCAGCCTCCTGGCCCAGAGCCAACCCCTCCAGCCACTCTGACGCAGAGCCCAGACTGCCCGGCTGGCACGGAGCTGCCCGCTGCCGGCATCACAGACAACCCCGCTTACCGCAGCTTCGGCACCCTGCCGAGCCAGTCCTCGGGTCCTGGAGAGCTTGACTCAGACCCACAGCTGGCCCAGTACCTGGGCGATGGGGACCCTCACATCCTCTCTGCTCCCCAGCCCTCTGAGCCGCCCACTGCACTCCAGCCTGAGCCAGAAACCTGGGAGCAGGCCCTCCGCCGGAGCGTCCTGCAGCACAGGGCAGCCACAGCCCCCGCCTCGGCCCCCACCGGCGGCTACAGGCAGTTCGTGCCCGCGGTGAAGCAGGGCTGTGCCCAGGGCAGTGCAGCGGAGGGCTTCGGCCCTTCTGGAGAGGCTGGGTACAAGGCCTTCTCCAGCCCGCTCCCCAGCGGTGCCATCTGCCCAGGGACATCTGGGGTTGAGGCCAGCAGTGGGGAGGGATGCTACAGGCCCTTCCAGAGCCTCACTTCTGGCTTTCCTGGGGTTCCCACCTCAGTCCCCCTGTTCACCTTTGGACTGGACATGGAGCCACCTCACAGCCCTCAGAACTCACTCCTCCCCAGCAGCTCCCCAGAGTGCCTCGGTCTGGAGCCAGTGGCAAAGGGAGAGGACAGCCAGAAACACCCACTCTCCCTGGAGCAGGCCACAGACCCCCTCAGGGATGACCTGGGCAGTGGCATCGTCTACTCAGCCCTCAACTGCCACCTGTGTGGCCACCTGAAGCAACGTCACGGCCAGGAGGAGTGTGACGAGGCCCACATTGTGGCCACCCCCTGCTGTGGCTGCTGTTGTGGAGACAGGTCCGAGCCCCCAGCAAACCCCCTGTCAGGTGGGGTTCCACTGGAGGTCAGCCTCCCTCCGGCCTCCCTGGTACCCTTGGGTGTCTCAGAGGAGGGCAAGTACTCTCTGTTCTTCCAGCCTGGCCCCAGCAATGCTCAGAGCTCAAGCCAGACCCCCCAAATGGTGGCCACGCTCTCCACAGGGCCCACACGCATAAGTGCTTCCTAGGTGTGTGCTCTCTCTTTGCTGTGTGTGCCTTACCCATGCCTGCAAAATGCCTCCCCATGGAAGGAAACCAGGCTGGTGAATTTCCCAAAGACTCCAAGAGCCTTGGTATGAAGTGAAATTGTCTTACACTGGGGCTACAGAGACTGGATGCCCCTGTTCTCAACATTGACCAGAGCTCAGCACATGCCATGGGAGGGGAGCGCAATGGGCAGCTATGCCCAGCAGTCACCTGCAAGGATCGGGAGGTTCCTGGGCACCTTGGCTTATGAATAAGCCATTGGCCACTTGATTAGTCCACAGCTTCTCCAGTGTACTGTCCCTGTCATGCCCCCCCCCATGCATGTTTTGCCCACCTAGTCAGTCGGTTGCCCATGTCTTGCCCAGTTCTGGGACTAGCTGCTGCCTGGATTTGACATTGAGCCTAAAACCTCACCAAGCCATCAGAGGAGCATTGGGAGGCCTTGGGAAACTGATGGGAAATTGAGGTCCTGGGAGGAACCCATTCATTCAGCAGAGCTTCAGTAGGTCGACACGGGGAGCAGGATCTGGGCTGGGAGGGGAGCTCAGTCCAGTGGGGGTAACAGCAGCACGCGAAAAGTCGTGATTGCCAAGCAGTAACAACTGCTGTCAGATTCCTACACAACTGTAAGGCTGGGGCTCCTGTGAAGCATGAGATCCCCAGAATAAACACACCCAGCTACCTTGGGGCCGGTCTGTGCCCCCATGGACACCATTGCTGGCAGCCACAGAGACCAGAGAGAGAGCTTCACACCTGAGACGGCTGAGCTGGGCATTCCAGACACCAACACCAGGCACATTTACCTGCAGGCTGGCCCAGACCTCAGCTTAAGTAATATCGTTTGTATGCATCTCAAAGATTGTTTTAAACTCAGCATTTGTATTTGCTGAGGAGGGTGGAAGGGGAGGGGCTGGAGTTTTATATGAATAAAGGTTCTTTATCTCTTTTTTTACTTATGAAACAAACATGCTGCCACTGTGAGTACTTTATCTTTATTAACTCATTGAATCCAGACAGGGATTCAAGTGCAATGAGTTTATTTAGGAGGTGACCCTGTTACCGGACTGGTATATAATCAGCCAACTGGCAAGGGGTGGTGAGAGCAGAATGTCCAGGGAGACTGACTGTTCTCCCATTATTTGCCGGCAATAATGGAACAAACACTCACATGATTCAACCCTGTCTCGGCTAAATCTGGCTCAAGTAGTGACAGGTCGCCTTAGACCCCTTGTATCTGGTTTCAAGGCAGGGCTGCTGTTAGCTCACTGGGAAGTCAGAGAAAAGGGGGTCTTGGAGACAAGATCAGGGGGTGAGCCCGGGTCGAGCTGCCACTGCCCACTGCTTCCCTGGCTGCAAGTCTCATGGGGACCTTAGAAATTAGAAAGAAATAAGAAGTTCATGCCTGGGGAGGGGCATGGGCATGCTATAGAGCGAGCCCACATTGAGTCTTCGTCCTTTGGGCTTTTTATCCATTTTTTTTCTCTGTAGGCAGGAATCTTAGGGGAGGGTGTCAGTAGAATATTCAACAACTTTCCAGGCATATTTTTAAATATGCTGATGCATTAAAATGAGTGTATAGGGGAGTTTTGGGTAATTTTTTGGTCTGCTTTACTATTTTATTTTGGGTCTGTCTGGCTTTAGTGGGGTTTTTGTTATCTGTTCACAACTTCATCTGTCCTTGGGTTTAGCTGCACAAATGGCATTAATTGGGTCTCTGTTCTCTATTTCCCAGGCCAGGGCGATTTAAGCCATGTGTTCTCTGGTTAGGGAGAAGGGTATGAACCATTTGCTCTCAGATGTCCTTGGTAGGGGAAGATAAGACCTTGCAGTTCACAAGCTGGCTGCAAGCTGCCCAGGCTGTTTGGCCTTGTTTAATTTTCTTTCTCAGTTTCCCTATTCCACTTGCCCAGGGATTTTCCTAGCTTCTTACTATCCTGCTACAATCCCAGGAAAGCCTCCTTGTGGAGTGGGGCAGTGAGGCAGGGAAGGGCAGGAGGCAATAAAGAGTGTATTATCAAACAGAGTGCCAGCATGGGCAACTGACCCTAATCCTGCCTGCCCAGATCTTTGGAAAGCCATGCACAGTGCATGCCTAGAGGTCTCCGTGCAAAGGCAGGGGGGGAGCTGGGGTGTTCACCCACCAGCTCCCTTATTGTTGGAGGGCCACTTCCAGGGCCACCAGCAGCTGCTGCTACACTTTGCCAAGGTACTCAGCTAGTTAGTAGCAGGTCCATAGGGGAACCCAGGCAGTGTCTGTCACCCCAACTCTCTGCAGGTGATCTGTTCTGGACATCCAGGTAGGTGGCTTGATTGAATGGGCCTGAGATGGCCAGGCAGGGGATCTTAAACTCCTATGTCTGTGATTACTCTGTCTCTCTCTCACACTTGCAAAATGAGGAGCTTGGCTCTTTGGGGTTCCTTCCTGCTCTGGCATTCTACACAGTGCATTAGAGGTGACAGGGAGCTCGCTACCTTACATGCAGCCTGATGTTTGTTGAAAGTGTCTCCTTTGTGCTGAGCCCAAAGCTATCTCTTTAGCTGCTGGAGTCACCCCCACCTCAACACACACACACACACACACACACACACACACACACACACACACACAGTTTAAGATGGGGAAACTTACTCTAAAGAGGAAAAGGGACTTGCTAAGGTCAACAGTGAATGGCAGAGCCTGAACTAGGCCTCTGGACTCTGTCTCCAGGAACTTTCATAACAAAATATATTAAAAATAAAAATAGCTGTTTAGTACCAAGCAGTATGCTAAGTGCTGCATATCCACTATGTCAGCTCTACCAGGCAGGTCCAATTATCCCAATTTTACAGATGAAGAGGCAGCCCAGAGAGGTTGAGGCTTAGCTTAGAGTCACACAGCTAGAAATTCCTGGAGCCATGTCTGATGGCAGAGCTCCCAGGCCCCACAGAATGCCATCTCATGTACAGCATGGCACCTATTCAAATGTCAGCTCTAATCCACTTTGCCTGAGCATTGTCTCAGAAAATCCAATTTAAAAATTAAGCATTGAATGGAGAAAATACACTTGTGTGAGTGGTGGAGAGGCAGTTGGGTTGCAAGTGCAACAGAATGGAGGCTGGAGCCATTTTCTCCTCAGGATCTCATAAGAAAGAGACCCAAGTTGTCAGCTGAGGCTGATGTGACAGAATTGGCTGGGCTTGGGAAAGCTGGAGTGGAGAATTAGAGACGCCTCCCATCTCTTACTCAGATTTACCCACTCTCCCAGGCTCAGGGAAGCTGGAGGAAGGCCACTGTTCTTGCTTCCCTGGCCCTCTTCTCCAGCTCACCAACGGAAGGAGGAAGCAGAGAGGCAGAAAAGCAGGTAGCAGGAAAGCCACACACCCCACCCATATTTACTGAGCACCTACTATGCCAGGTACTGTGCTTCCCTCCTGGATCTTACAGTTCAGTGGGGGAGACAGACATGAAACAGACAAAAGGAAAAGCTGCAAACACTAACGAGTGCTGTAAACCCTGAGAAAGAAGATACCTACTAAGAAGGGCTCCTGGTGGCTAACTGGGCTCAAATTTTTTAAAAAACAGAAACTAGCAGCGATTTCTACACAAGGATCTCTCAGGCAAACTGCACATCAGGGAGAAGCCTGAACTGGACTGCCTGCCTGCACTGTTTCTGCCATCTGAGCCCTAGAATCCCATTTCAGCCAATAGGATGGAGGCTTTCCCCCACCCAGTTGGAGTTGGGTGGCTCCAACCAACCACAGCAGCTCTATCCTGACCAATCAAACTTCGAAGATTTGGAGTCTTCATTTGCATGAGGACAGACCAGTCAGGCACCAGGGGCAGGGACTTCTGTCCATATAAGCCAGCCCTCCCTCTGGCTCTGAGAACCTACTTTCCATTTCTGCTGAAGACAGAGTCTCCCTGGCTGAGCTGAAACACTGAAGATGTCTTGTTAGAGTAGAGAGGAGCAGGCCAGAGCAGTCTGGAACAAAGCAGAGCAGACCAAAGCACAGTGAAGCAGACCAGTGCACACAAAGCAGGCCCGCACGCGGCAGAGCATGGAGGAGCTGGGCAGAGCTGTCCAGCCAGAGAGGGGCCTGGCTCCAGGCCTGCCTTCCAGGTGTGCTGTTTTCCCGGCCATGCTGTATCACAGTGGAGCTGTTTTATGCTGAATAAATTCTCCTTCCCTGCATCCCCAAATTGGGGATTCCTGTTGCCCTTGAATTGGTGCCAATGACCATTGGTTGGCAGTGCTATGAAGAAAATAGGGTCTGAGACAGGGGGAGCTAAAGGGAGGTCGTTAAGCAGGTGACCCGAGTTGAGCCCTAGGTGACTAGAGCCAGGATGGACTAGCAGAAGAGCATTCTGAGCAGAGCGCAGAGCAAGCATAAAGGCCCTGAGGCACAAGGAGTTTGTCTGAAAGACCAGCTACTGCGCAGTGAGCCAGGGGTAGTGGTGGGAGATAAAGTCGAGCATAATGGAGGCTGGAGTGAGTGCAGTTTGGCTTGAAGGCACATTGCCCCCCCCCCACTGAGAAACATGGTCCAACAGACACGAGGCTCTCTTCAACCTCCCCAGTCCCCAAAGGTAACCCGCCCATAAGCAGGAGCCAGTGGGAGGAAGCAAGCCCCTGGGAGTGTTCCTCCAGCAGGGCCCTCTCACCCTGCACAAGTGGAAGACGAGGGTTCCCTGACATCCTCATGGCTCACGTTCTCAGGAATAAAGTGCCTCCCACCAGGAATGAGTCGATTTGCCCAGGGAATGGTTCTTGGGGTTTCTTTGACAAAAGACTTTTTAAAATCCCGTTAAAATCTGGTCCTTGGCCTCCCAAGCCCTAGTCTTCAATTAGGCACGAAACCCCGAGGGTCTTTGGATGGTGAAGCCATAGGCTAGACCCGGTCTCTGCTTTCCATGTGCCCTTCATCCCGCCTGTGCCTTCGTTTCCTCATTTGTAAACAAAAAGATAATAAAACGTGTTGGAGAGTTTTCCTGAAGGTTGCCTCCATAGCAGCGACTTCACCATCTCTTGGGTTTACTCCGGCCTTGCTGGGGCACAGGCGACAGGAATTAGAAAGTACAAGCAGCTTAGAAATCTTGAACCTTCGGCCCGGCCACTGGTCCAGGCGTCCTCGGACTTCCCTGTAAGCCTGCTGGCTCCCACAGCCCGTGGATCAACCTGACGGAGCCCCAGCTTTGGCCTTCCCTGGGTCCCCTGTGCTGTCTGGCTTATGCCTACTCCTTCCTGGGTCAGGACGTCCCCACACTAGGCCTGGTCGTTCACTCTTCCATTCAAATATTACTCCCTGAGAGGCAACTGTTAAACCAAAAATACATTTCTCAAGTTATGAGCATGGATCACAGTTTTATTTTAGATTTACAGGAAGGAAATCAGAAAAAAAAAGAGAACTTTGGTTCAATGAACAATCTAAGGAAGTGGATTTGTAGCAAGATAAATGAGTGTCTGGGACGGTGCTGTCCCAAGGAACATTTTACTAAGGAAACGTTTCCCTGTCCAGTGCAATGGCCACTA